AATGTCTTATCTTCTTTCCTGGCTGCTAGGCAGATGACTTGAGTTAATGCAGCATAACCTCAGTTGAAAAGTGCTGGGCCTGATAAAGGAAGAAAAACATTATACATTAAAGAAACTACAAAAAAAAAGCATGTACTACCAGGAGCCAGGGGAGTAATTCGTGGCATTGGATTTTGGGGGTGCTTTATTTAGGGGATCAGAATATAAGATTATAGAAATAAAACTTATTTATTTAGGGGAACTTTATTGGGACACAGGATTTACCACCTTAGCAAGAACCCCAGGGGATGGGACAGATTCGCTGATAGTGTATGAAGCCTGATATTGTTATGTCCAACACTGAGTGAAGTGAAAATCCTCAGGTTGTCCTGGTAAATTGTAGAAGTAATAAAGATGCTGAGAGAAGTGGTCATGCTGGACTGCATATATTGTGAGACTAGAAAACTCATCACATAATTTTGTTCCAAAGCAAGGCCCAGAAGACACATGATTCACTAAGGCCACCAAGAATGTGTCTGTGAGAGGCCTGAGCATCATGGGTTCATTGTTGGCTCTTCTTTTTAGTTCAGGACTGATTGTGCATGAGGTGCTCACAGAACTGTGCTTCTTAATGTCATTCAGAATGATTGGCCCTGAATTGATAGAAGACTGATGCTTAACTACCCAAAGGCGAGAGGCCATAATTAGTGTCACAACTGGAGGGGCAGTGAAGGGGTTTGACCCTCGGGGTGTTTAGGAGATTTTTGATTGAATATAACACTCCTACAGCCAAAATGGATAGGCAAGTAATAATGCTGCCTAACCTCTGTAAGCAGGAAGGCAAAAATGGAAAAGGAGGAGGGTGAGGGCATTGGCCCCAATGAAATGTCACAATCTCTTATTCAGTTTCAAGGCTCAAGAGAGTTTTCAGATATGGAACCCACAGATGGAAGAGGGTCCTTCAGAGGAAGGAGCCTGCTATTCAGTGGCAGGCATATACTGTGGTGAATCTCCAATTCTTCGTGTGGCCAATTGCTAAGGTGATAGTACCCTGAGAAAGGGAACTATCCAGACATTTCAAGGACTGCTGGACATAAGATCTGAGTTCACAGTGAAACCTGGAAACCCAAGCAACATAGTGACACTCCCTTAAAGTGGGGGCTCATAGGGACCAGGTCCTGTGGTACCGGCTGAAGTCTGGCTCACGGACACATTGAGTCTAGAGACCCACAGTTGTTCATGTCTACAGTGCCTCAGTGTGTAGTGCGGGATGACTGTAAGACAAATAAAGCCTGTGACACATGAGGTAAGAGTGATCATAGTGGGGAAAGCCAAATGGATATCTCTGAAACTCCTCCTTATCCCAGCCAAGATAGGAAATCATAAACATTTGGCTAGGATTGGGGGGTGGAGCTTATTGGTGGTCGTCATGATCTTTCCATCCACTTGGCCAGTCTGGGCTTTGAAGAAAACTGGACAGAGTGGCTGTAGACTAGTGCGGGTAGAGTGGCTGTAGACTAGTGCGGGTAGAACCTAGTATTGGCCCTGATTTCAGGTGCTGTGCAGATGTGGTATCATTCATTACTAGCGATTAAGAAGGGCTCAGGTACATCGTATGTACCCATTGATTTGATGAAGGTGTTCTTTTCAATCAGAACTTGGAAAGAGGATCAGACACAATTGGCTACATTATAACTATGTCCATAAGTAGCCTTGAAGGACAATAGAAAGGGCAAATATTTCCAATAAACAGAGCTGTGAAGGGCATACCTGGTCATCTGCTGTGTGTGGAGAACTGGTTCTAGGTGAGAATACGTGTACTTCCCTGGGCAGTGGCTAATGGCTTGGCAATTTGTTCAGGAGATGGATGGAAAAAGACTGGAAAATTACAAGGCAGTCTGGTGTAGAGGTATGTCATGGGAGTGGACATAGAGCTTTAAGATTTTTATTTCACACCTTACCACCCAAGAAGGCAATTGTCACTGATGGGGTACTTAGCACTTGGCCAGTGAAGATTCTTATCAGCCAGGCTTTGTTATCATGCCCTGAGCTGGCACCTTGAATACCTGAATTAAGTAGCTGGAGTGGCAGAGCTGGAAGTTATAAATAGGCTCAACATATGGACTCTCATTTGCTAAGGCTGATGTAGCTAACGCAGTCTCAAGTCCATGCCATCAGCTACAGAGACCATCACTGAGCCCTCAATGTGGCACCGTGCTTCAAGGAGATCAAAGAGTCTTATGTTGCAAGTCAACTCTAATGGGACTCTTTTATCCTGGAAGGACCAGTAGTTTGTTCTTACAGGGTTAGAGCCTAGTCCAGGTATGAGTTTGCCTTTATTACCTGCAGAGCCTCAGCCAGCATCACTATAAAGGACTTACATAGTATTCAACCAATGCATAATGATGAAGGTGCTAAGTGGGCCCATGACCATGGGATCCCCTGGTCTTATCACAGACAGCATTGCAGTCTCGTACCTGTGTCTTCTAAAGGCACAGGTTAAAATATGAGCTTTAGGGCAACATTATGACTACAGTAGATTCATTAAATTGGGAACTTTCTAGTACGGAAGTATCATAAGAGTCAAATACAGTGGCAAAAGGAGTGGCTTCAGTTTCAACACTCCCAGTGACTTTTTATTGGAAGCATTTGTACTTTCTTGCAACTCTGCCCTCTGTAAATTTGGAGGTCTTGGTTCCCACAGGGGGCATACTCTTCCCAGGGGCTACAGTGGGTCTCACTGAACCACAAGAAATGGCTGCCACTAGAGCACTTTGTACTCCTTGTGCCCAGCGATGTGCAAGAGAGGAGTCACCATATCCATAGAGTAACTGACCACCATGAGCAGGAGGTTGGGCTCCTCCACAGAGGGACAGGGAAGGATATGCGTGGATCCATGGTGAGCCACTTGGTTCCCCCTGTTGCTCCTTTTCCCACTATAACTGATCAGAAGCACATGGCAAACTCCAAGAAGGGTGTGGTTACTAAGGTTTCAGACCTCTGAAAAGGGAAAGTTTGCATCACATGACCAGGCAAACTACCACAACTCCCGAGGTGATTGATAAGTGTGAAGAGGTTCCCTCCTGGGATAGTGGGGGGAAAAGAGGATGAGAACCACTTGCTGCCCTGAGATCAGTGATAATGGATGTAGTTCAGTCTACTAACCAACCTCCCTCTGCTAAGTTCATGCTCAAGAAAATGGGCCTGTTTCAGGAATCACAGAGGTCTTCCTCCCTGAATAGTGCTCGGGAGAATGATGGGCTATGGCAGCCATGCAAGTGCACCACGCAGATCTGCTGAGGGGAACTCAATTGGCTGAGGGCCCTGTCTGCTGCTCTCTGAAACCCTTGGTATGTTCATGCCAAGCCTACAGTTCCCAGGAGGCTTTACCATCAGAACAGCGAGCAGAGCGGGTATAGAAATGCAGGCCCATTCATGTGTGCAAGGGGACTCCTTTAAGGGGCAACTTTGGCTTGAGAGTTTCGACCCTTAACTTTCTTGGAATTTGTTGCTGTAGAGATTCAGGCTACTTCAAACTTCTTTCTTTCAAAGGGGTTAGACATACAACTGTCTGAAAACTTCCTCCTCTGTCTTCCTATTTCAACTCTCACAGGCATTTCCCCAAATAGATCTCTTGTAAATCTATTTTCGCATGTGCATCTTGGAGGACCTGAAATAACACACTTGGACTTTGTTCTGACAGTTACTTGTGGATCAACTTCATACTGCTGCGGGGTTTGTAAACTTTTTTTTTTTTTTTTGGTCATGTCTAGTGTAGATTTTACCATCAGGCTGGCTTAACCCTATTTACACAAGGTGTAACCTTCCTGAGATCCCAGTGAATGTCAGGAGTTCTGAGCGAGGACTCTCCACTGTGGCTGGATGGAAATTAAATGTTTCCCATTCTTGTGCTAGTGTGGGGCATTGTTAAGCTTAGTGTTCAGCAATGAATGTAAAGGGATCTGTATGCTGATTTCTTAACTTTTTAAAAATCTGCACACCTGCTTCTTCACTGATACTCTGCCCTGAAAATTCAAGCCATCTCAGTTTTACTCAACTTGTCTTGGTCTCCCTACCTCAGAAAGACTGCTCTGTTCAGCTCCTCCTCCTGCAATGTCATCCAGCCCTTAAATCTAGGCAGGTGGGGCAACTGGAGGGTCACCTTGCTTTCCTCCCTCTGTCATCCCACTGTTGCTGCCAGTTGTCCATTGTCTGAAAGGCTACTTTAATACTACCTCATGCCCCTGGTTCCTGGGAGTATTGATAGCCAATCTTTTTGTGAAATTTTAAATATATTTAGAGCTATAAATTTCCCATAAATATTTGCTTTCACAATATCCTGTGTTTTGATATGTTGTATTTCCATTAGAATTTATCTCAAAATATTTTCTAAATTCTAGTTACTTATTATAGCTTGCTTTATGGATCATTTGGAGTGTTTTCCTTAAATTATAAGAATTTGGGAAATTGTTTTTATCTTTATGTAATTGATTTCTGGCTTAATTCATACTCTATATTATTTCAATATTTGGAAATTTATAATCAATTGAATGGTCAGTTTTGGTAAATGTTGAATGGTGAGCCTTAAAATATTATGCATTCTAAAATTTTTGGATATAATGTTTTATATTATATCTTATTTAAATGTATAGTGCCTGTACATAACAAATGGTAGCTCAACACATACTGAATTGCTCAAAGGTTTTATCCTATTGATGGTAATTCCAGATCAAATAAGAAAGGATGATGAGGTCATTACAAGAGTTTAGGCACAGAAAAAACTGTTTTTGGAAACCTCATAGAGGAAGCTTGAATCAAAGCATGCAATTTACCCCTATTTTAAACAATTTTAATGCCAACCCCTTACGTGATGGAAATTATCCCAACGCTTTTCCTTCTTGTATTTCTACCAATTTTTCTTTCATTGGTTGTACGCTCTGTATTGTTAATATAATACTATGTGACAGTAGACAACACTATCTTAGGAAAAGTTAATGACAATGACTCATAAAACCCACGGAGACTCAACAAAAGGTTCATTTTATTTCTTCAAACAATTCATGATTGTTTTCTGAGATTACATGAGTTTAGAAGATATCTAGTATCTCTATTCAATAGTCTAATGTTTCAAGTACAATATATATAATTTTTATTTTCCCAAGTTCTCATGTTGTATTTTGCATGTTCCTGTCCTATTTCTTACAAAAATCCCTTAAGGTTAAAACTGTCATTAATGTACATATTCTAACACAGTTAAACTTTCTACTTCTGCCAGCCTTGTTCTGGACACTGAAATTTTGATTACAGAAAAAAGAGAGAAAATAGATTTGGACACAGCTAAAAGCACATTCTGTAGGCTTATATGATGTCTGCTGTGCTCTGTCTCACATCTCTGCAACCTCCAGGTCCAGCCACCACGCTGGTGAACAGTCTGGGAAGGTTCCCCCTGTTCTGTGCTGACAGTGCCTCACTCCAGCCTGGCCCAAGGATCTGGCTTCCTATCTCACGGCTTCTCTGCTGTGGCAATGAGTGATGCTCTGGTGCCAGGGAGGCTCTCCCAGCTTTGCAACTTCAGGGCTGGGGGAATTAACACCAAAGGGAGCAGTTCTCAATATGTAGGAGATGGGTGCTGAGAGATAAATGCTTCTCCCTGTCAATCTGCAGACAGACAGTTCCAACACAAAATTTAGTAAGGATCCTGAGAAGGCTCTTCACTAAGAAACTGTTAATAGTGGCAGACACTTGATAACACTACCTTATTTTGCTTGAATTTTCTTTCCTCTCTCTCATTCCTGCTCCCTAGGATTATATTCCCAAGTAGAATATGTCTGCCTCTGTCTCAGGCCCTGCTTCCAATAATAATGTAGATTAAGAAGACAGTAGGTAAGTAGGTTGTTGTAGATTATGTAATGCAGGAATACCATTTCCCTCCACTCTGCATGGTAAAAAGAAACATTCAGTTGGCAGCGGTTTATGGTAATTTTGATGATTTTCCATTGTTTTCCTTTTCTGGAAGGTCACCAGCCACCCTGAAGCAAGACCACCTAAAGAAAAACAGTTGGTACAAATTACCTTCTAATTGAATAGACAGACTTCTCTGTGATGATACTCTAAGGGGCTTCTCTTTGTGAGGGGGCCTCAGCAATTCGGTTGGATACTCCAATCTAATAAGGAGAAGCCCTCAGTGTACTTAATCAGAACGAGCTTTTTGTTGCTTTGGCAACAACCATATCACATTTCTTATTCCCCTTGGTAAAAGCCTAGAGCTTTTATTATTATAATAATCCTTTTTTTTTTTTGCTGAGAAACTCAAACATACCTTAAAAATATAAAAATTACTAGAATACAATCAGGACTTTCTTATTCATAAAAAAATGAAGAAATACCCTGAAAGATATAGGGGTTATTAGCAAGAAATTAAGGTGTCTGAGAAAAATGTTAACAATTAGAAATTTTTACAAATTCAAGATATTGAATTAGAGAACAAAATTGGTAAATTCTCCTCCCCTCTCACCAGAACTTATATTGGTACAGAAAACAAGGAAATAAATAAAGTAACTAAAATACATAGCATTTCAAATAAAAGGCACAGATAAAAATAAATGGGTAAAGGTGGTCAAAAAGTATAAACTTTAGTTATAAAATAAAAAAAATCCCTAGAGATGTAATGTACAGAGAGGTGACTAAAGTTAACAGTACTATATAATATATTTGAAAGCCAGAAGAGAGTAGATCTTAAAAGTTCTCATCACAAGTAAAAAATTTTATAACTGTGTGGTGATCATTTCTCTATATATTCAAATATAGAATCAATCATGTTTTACAACTAAAACTAATATATTAATAATAATGTTATACGTCAATTATCTATAATAATAAAAGCGAATTATGCGAATCGATTGATTGACCAAACGACTGAATAGCAGAACGACCATCTGGATGACCATGCTATGACATGCACTGGCTCCAGGCCAGCCAAGGTGGGTGCAATGCGATTGGTCGGGGGAGCCCAACCATTGCCCCAGGATTGCCCCATAGAAGGAGGCCCAGGCCACCCACCAGTGATGCTGTGGTGGGTGTGCAGGGCTGGCCAGCAATTGCACCCCTCACCTGTTGCTTGCAGAGGGAGCGACCGGTGGCAGGGGTGGGAGGACGGGGGTGGGGGGGGGGGGAAGTGCTGCACAGGTGGCAAGCAGTAGCAGTGGCAGGGGGCAGGGCCAGCTGCCAGCAGCCAGGGAAAGGGACCAACCAGGCTTAGGGACCCTACCCGCAAGAAGGTACAAGCCAAGTTGAGGGACCCCTATCCCCTGTGCATGGATTTTGTGCACCGGGCCTCTAGTATCTAAATAAAAAAATAAATTAGGGATGGGGGAAAGAGTGTACAAGTTTTTTTTGTTTTGTTTCATTTAAACTACAGATCTCACTGAGAAAATGACATTTAAACAACCTGAGGAGAAAAGGGTCAGTCACATGAGTATTTGGGGGAGGAACACTTGCAAAGATGAAAAAGGAATCCTAAGAGCTCTGAGATAAAAAGAGACCAGTGTTGTCTGAGAAATGTGAGCATTAGAAGCTGAAATTAGAAAGGGGTTGGAGAAAGGAGGCAGTGACAGGTCATCTGAGAGAGGGATTCACAATGGATGCAGGGTATACTACACACCGAGGGAGTATTTTGAAAAACATTTGGTATTATTGTGATTGGTTGATACTACTGGCCTTTAGTAGATAGGCAACATGCATGTTAAAAGTTCAGTAATGCTCCCAACAAAGTATTTTCTATATTTTGTGCAACTGGAAAGCAACCTACTGCTCATTCATGTAGATGTAAAACTTTATAATTATTTATGCTAACATCTAAATTTCATTTATGGTAAGCTAGATTATTTGGACCAATTCTCCATTGAAAATAAGCAGACATCTTGGATAAAATATATTTGATCAAATTTGGAAAGCTTTTGTGAATATTTTTTTCAAATAATTTTCTGCCCCATACTCAGTCTTTTTGCCTTCTGGGAATCCAATTTCATGTCTGTTAGATCACTTGATACTATTCTATGAGTCATGGATGTTTTATTAAGAAATATTTTTTTCTCTGTGTATTTATGTTTGCATAATTTCTAGTGACCTGTCTAGAAGTTGATGATCCTTTCTACTTTTGCGTCTAATTTACTTATAAGCCCATCAAATAAGTTCAGATATTGTATTATCCAATTATAGGACTTCCATTTTGTTCTTTAAAAAATATATATATATATATATATTATATATATAGTCTGCCCGCTCCGTGTGGCTCAGTGGCTAAGTGTCTATCCATGCAAAAGGAGGTTATCAGCTAGATTTCTGGGCAGGGTACATGTCTGGGTTGGAGGCTCAATCCCTACTGGGGGATGTATGGCAGGCAGCTGATCAATATTTCTCTCATAGGTTTCTATCTCTCCCTCCCCCCACCCTTCTCTGTAAAATCAATAAAAACGTATTTTAAAACATAATATCTGTATTTCTCTTGAAATTCTCTATCCAACCTTTATATCCTCTTTAGCAAGATTTTTAAATATATTTGTCATGTTTATAATTTAAAGTCCTTGTTTATTAACTCTAACATCTCTACTGATTCATTGTTTCTATTGATTCATGACAAAGGTGACACTGCAGAGCAGTAGGGAAAGGACGATCTTTTCAAGGAAAGGACTTGGGTCAATTGAATAACTACTGTATATGAAAAAAAATTTAACTCTTATTTGATATTATACTCCAAAGTCAATTCATATGGTTAGCAGATCTAAATGTTCAAAGAAAACAGTATGTCTTTAAACATTGAAAATTTACATTCATTAAAATTTGACAATGAAATAGTTAAAATACAAACCACAGATTAGGGAAAGGTTATTTTTTTTTTTTTTTTTTTTTGCATCTGTCATAAATGAAAATGGAGTCACATGTAGAATACATAAATGAGGTAAAAAAGATAGATAACCCAATAGAAAAATGGGGTAAAGACCCAACAGACACTTCACTACAGAGGATTTCTAAAAGACTAATAATCACATGAAAAGATGCTGCTCTTTTTCTTTTGTCAAAGAAATGTAAATTGGAAACACACAATCACCAAATGTTGGGGAGGGTATGGAGCAATGAGAATCCATTATACACTGCTGATGGGTGTATAAATTTGAAAAATTGTTCGGCATTATCAGCTATAGTGAACCATAAACATAACCTATGTCCCAGCTATTCCACTTTTAAGATATATATCCCAATAGAAATCTGTATCTCCATGTGGGACATTTGTTTCCACTGATGCATATCATTCAGATAATACAGGGTATATCAATAATTATTTCACACCTGAAAATAAAACGAATTGAACACTCAATATCAGTGTAAGGAACTAGTCACAATATCAATATCAGGGACCAGTCACAATATTATATGATTCCATTTTATGAAATGTCAGGAATAGGCAAATATATAGAAACAGAAAGTAGATTAGTACTTGCTTAGGGCCAGAGAGGATGGGGAGTGTGGATGTGATAACTACAGAAGTATGGAGTTGTCCTGAGACTAGAAAATGTTCTAAAATTGACTGTGGCAATAGTTGCACCTGTCTGTGACTGAATATCCTAAAAGCACCAACAAATTGTACAATTTAAATAAATGAATTGAATGGTATCTGAATTATATATCAGTTAGGCCAAAATTAATTAAAAACAGTGTAAAAGAAAAATAAGTTGTGGCATATTCATATAATTGGATGTCATAGAACATAAAAAAATAAACATTTTAAAAAGATCTGTTACAGGAACCAGAGTGGAAGAATCTCAAATGTAATATGAAGTGAAAAAATCAAAAAACAAATACTATATCATATTTATTGAGTAATTCATTTAATGTAAAATTCAAGAACAGACAACACTAATCTATGCATTTGCATATAGGACAATGGTTGTATTTGGAAAGTTGTCCCTGACTGGGCAAGGGGATTAAGGGAGCTGGGAATGGTCTGTTGTGTTTTTTTGTTTTTTTTTTTTTTTTTTTTAAATCTCCACTATGGTTGCAAGGGTATATTTATGATAGTCTTTGAAAGTTTATTGAAGTGTATATTTATAGTTCGCCCAGTTTTCTGTATTTTGTCCTAAATTTGACTGTAGTAATAAACTTCAATAAAAGTTTATTAAGAAATATTCATAAAAATCCAGTTATTCAATAAGTTGTCCTAGTAATAGGCATTGGTAAAAATGGACTAAAAGAATATATAAACATTTAGTTGTTTTTTGTTTTTTTTCTTTTGTGTGTGTGTGATGGAGGGTTAGTTTTAGAGAGAATTTTTATTTCCTTCTATATATTTTTTCAGTGTTTTCCAAATTATCATAGTAGACATATACTATATCTATCACTAGAAAAATGTTTTAAAATACATGTTAGCAATACCTCTCTCTTACTTCTATACTAATTTAATCACACTGTAAGGACTTCGGCTTTTGCTCCGAGGAAGGAAGAGACTGTCATTTTAGAGTCAAGGCGGGTGTGGCTGCTGGTCTGGGGTTTCCGGGTGGCAAGGCTGCCACCCAGGGACTCGCCGACTCACCGGCTGCCCCCCAGCAGGAAGGAGGCGCAGGTGCAGGGACCAAAAGACCGCGAACCCTCACCCATGGGCAGGGAGGTCGCGGTCCTCCAGGAACCTGGGTCCTTGCAGCTCGCTGTGGTTGAGATCCAAGCTCCAACCTCCGAGCTGGGTTAGAGAACGATCAGCATCTCATCACTGTCATCCTCATGTTGTTTTTGAAAGGCCCAGGGAGCTAAGAGGTGCTTTTACATTCTATGAGGTTGTTAAAAAAAAAAAAAAAAAAGGAAAAGAAAGAAAAAAAGGCAAAATACGCGACGGAAACAGATCCTGGCCTGCAAATCCTAAAACATTTGTCATCTGGCTCGTTATGCAAAAAGTTACCCAACTCTTTGATGAATTGTATGGTATTTTGGACGTTACCTGTAGGCTCTGGCGGGCGGGAAGCCGGGGCGGACGGAGCGCCAGGGGCACCCCCGTCCGCGGCCTCACCGGGAGCAGCGGCGCCGGGCTCCGCACACCCGGGAGCCGGCATCGGCGTGGGAACGCGCCTCCGCGGGGTCCAGCCTGGCGGGGGGCGGGCATCGCGGGCCCACACGCCGCCGGCTCCTCCGCCCGGGGGCTCCGAAAGGATGGACGGCGCTCCCTGCAGCAGCCGTCGGCGGACGGCACAGAAGGCTTCCCGGCTTCCCCTGGGAAAGCACGGCTGTCACTCCGGAGAAGCCCCGCTCCCCACCCCGGGAGCTCCCTCTCCTCCGTCCCGTGGCGGCCGCCGCGCCGCTCTGCGCGGCCCTCGGCGCCAGGGCAACTTTTGAAGGAGCGCCGCGTGGGCGCGGCCGCCGGGCGCGTGCGCAGTGGCCGCCCCCCGCAGCGCGCGCTCACTGCGCAGGCTCCACGGGCACGGCCGCCGGGAGGCGTGGTCCCCGCCCCCTCCCGGGGACCGGGCCGGAGGAAGCCGGGGCGGAAGGACGAGGACTGCGTCTCTGCGGAACTCACTGAGAGTCAGCTGTGAACTTCGTAACCCTTCACCTCTACCCGCTACTAACGTTTAAAGACCATGTCCTCTCATTCAGCCCGGGATCCCGGGACCTGCCCCTGAGCAGAGGGAGGGATGCTCCTGAGTCCTGGTCCTCCATCGGCCCTAGGAACGCTCTGGGCAGGATGAGCCCTTGTTGTGGGGTCCCGGGTGAAGGTTGGGGGGGGGGGGGGACTGTCGTGGGCACTGTGCAGTGGTGAGGGGCACTCCTGGCAACCTTGCCAGTGGCAACCCTCCCTCCCTCGTGGTGACAACCAAAATCGCCGCCAAAAGTTGGTGTGGGAGGGTGGGGCAGAGTCACCCTTTTTGAGGACCGCTGTCCTATAGGCTCACAATACAGAGTCCTTAGGAAATAAATGCACCATTAGGCTCTCCAGGCGTTGGAAATAGGAACTCACTAACCCAGTTAAATTAGTCTGTATTCGAATTTCCTCAATTGACCACTCCGCCGCTGCCCCCCTCCCTCCCAAATCCTCGCTTACCCTCTTGTTTAGAACTATACATCTGGGATCACGTATTACATTTACTGGTTTTCAAATCTCTTTAACTTTCTTTCAATTTAGAATACTTTCCTAGCCGTGTGTGTGTGTGTGTGTGTGTGTGTGTTTATGGTATTGACATTTTTTTAGTTCAGTCCAGTGGTCTTTCCAGAATGTACTTCAACTTGGACACTCAGATTGGTTCTCAATCTCAACACAAGATTAATGTTGAACATTTGTTTGTTATTTTTTGTTTTGTTTTTTTAAGCTGGAATCTTGTCTAGGTGATGTTACATTCAATTTTATCTATTTTCAAAGGAATATTTAGCTGTTTTAACGTTTAATTTTAAAAAAGTCACATTTCCTTCCAGTGTCTTGAGATACCACTTTTATCACATATATAAATTTCCACATTGTACTTGGGTTATATCTGTATTTTCTTAACCCCACCCCCTTGATCTGATTGTCTACTCCTGTGCTAATATTACACTGTTTTAATTACAGAAATTGTATAATATATTCCAATATCTGTTATGGATAAACCTGCCTCATTGCTGTGGGGTTTTTTTTTTTGTTTGTTTGTTTGTTTAGTTTTCTCTGTTTCTTGGATATTATTGCTTATTCATTTAGTTGTATAAACTATAGAATCTAGATCCATAAAAATACTTTATAATATTGCCATCGATTTATGATTTTGTATTATTCTACTGAAGAACAAGGCTATTTTTCCTTTTATTCAAGTTTCAGTTTTATGTCTTTTGGGAAAGCGTTGAAGTGTTTTTCGTGTAAGTTTTGCACATTTCTTGTTAAATGTATTACTAGGCTATATTTCATTTTTGTTGGCAATGTAAGTGGGACCATCTCTTCTACTTTTCCCTTTAATTGCTATTGCTTAAATATATGAAGGTATTGATTTCTTTATGTAACTTTGTATCTTGCTACTATTATATTGAATCTCTTATTGCTTCTAGTCATCTATTAATTCTATTGGCATCTCTAGTTACACTTGTATATAATTACAGTAACTATTCATTTTAAAGCTCAAATTTTGTATCTTTGGCATTTATGACAACCACAAATGTTTTGATGGCTTCCTTGCTTTTGGACAATATAAGAGTTCCAGTCTTATATTGGAACAGTCTCATTTACTGCCCTAGATATAAAATCAACTATTTCTCAAAGGAGTCTTCATTGCTTTCAGTGAAATGGCATATTGACCACATCTGTGCACTTTAGGATGTTCATGGCTAAATGGGTTGTTGTTACTTCTCAGACTTTTTAATATAAGGTCTAGGAAGTATGTAGTTTTTCAAAGAAATATAAAAATAAATCATAAATGTTTGATTATTTTGCAATTCTAATGAAATATTATATAATTCTTTACTTATTTAATTTTATATATATACATATGTTTAAATTTAAATTCTTTATTGTTTAAAGTCTGACATAAGTCTCCTTTCCCCCCAATTGACCTCTCCCCGGCCTCCCAAACCCCCCAACACATATCCTCACTCCCCCTTACCCCTCTTGTCTGTGTGCATTGGTTATGCTGACATGCATGCATACAAGTAAGTCCTTTGGTTGATCTCCTACCCCTCACCCCCTGCCTTCCCTCATAGGTTGGAAAGTCTGTTTCATGCTTCTATGATTCTGGTTCTACTTTTGTTCATCAGTTAATATTGTTCATTATATTCCACAAATGAGTGAGATCATGTGATATTTATCTTTCTCTAACTGGCTTATTACACTTAGCACAGGGCTCTGCAGTTCCATCCATGCTGTTGCAAATATTAAGAATTTCTTCTTTTTTATGGCAGCATAGTATTCCATTGTGTAAATATACCACAGTTTTCTAATCCACCCATCTGCTGATGGGCACTTAGGCTGTTTCCAAATCTTAGCAATTGTAAATTGTGCTGCTATGAAATTGGGGTGCATATGTCCTTTCTGATTGGTGCTTCTGTTTTCTTGGGATATAATTCTAGAAGTGGGATTACTAGGTTAAATGGGAGTTCCACTTTTTTGAGGAAACTCCATACTGTTCTCCACAGTGGCTGCACCAGGTCTACATTCCCACCAGCAGTGCAAGAGGGTTCCCTTTTCTTTGCATCCTCACCAGCACTTGTTATTTGTTGATTTGTTGATGATAGCTATTCTGGCCCGTGTGAGGTGATACCTCATTGTTGTTTTTATTTGCCTCTCTCAGATGATTAGTGACTTAAGTATGTTTTCATATGTCTCTCGGCCTTCTGTATGTCCTCTTTTGAAAAGTGTCTACTTAGGTCCGTTGCTCATGTTTTGATTGGATTATCTTCTTTTTGTTTAGTTGTATGAATTCCCCGTAAATGTTGGAGCTTAAATTCTTATTGCAGATAACATTGGCAAATATGTTCTCCCATGCAATGGGTTTTTTGTTGATGTTTTCTTTTGCTGTGTAGAAGCTTTTTATTTTGATACAGATACATTTGTTTATTTTCTCCTTAGTTTCCATTTGTCTAGGAGCTGTATCAGTAAAGATATTGCTACCACAAATGATTGTTTTCTCTTTGGTGAAAAGCATGGTTTCTAATAATAATAATATAATTGCTTATTTATTTCCCTCTAATATATAATAGTTTCAAAATAACAGCACCAAAATTATACCTAATTGTAAAATAGTTAATTGCAGTTTCATAGAGCTAGGTTTGTTTCAAGTTGTGTTCAAACCTAGGTTGCTTAATTTACAAATAATTAAATCCAAAGTGGAAAAATAAAACAAACATGAAATACTAACTTTTTGAGTGCCATGTCTAATTTATTTTTATTTTTCTCATTTTTCTTGATGTAAATATTTAAATCTATGTATTTTACTCTGAACATTCTTTAGCAGTACCTCATAGTCTCTGATGCTGTTTCATTATGGTTTTTTTTCTATAAATTCTCAATATCAGTTGGTATTTCCCCTTGAGCCAAGTTATGTTTATTAGAAAAGTTAAACATTTCAAGGTGATAAGGCTTTCTTATGTTTTGATTATTATGGATTCCTACCTTTATTATATAATGGATAGAGAATATGACTTGTATTTTTCCTTATGCAATTTATTGAGGTATACTTTTTTCTATAAGTTACATAGTCAATTATCATAAATGCTTTTCGTACAATAATTTATTTTTGTCTTGGGCTAAGAGAAGTGCACTAATGTCTGCTTTTCTGTATGTATTTCTGTCTTCTCAGAATATTTTCTTGTAGTTAATAATAATAAATAATCATTGTTTTCTGTAAATCTTTCATAAATTTTTTATTTTCACTGTGAATTATAGCTGTGAGCATTAGAAGGTATCCTTTGTCTTGGTAATGGTTTTGGTCCAAATTCTACTTAATTGGATTTCAAAATCTCAGTTCATTATTTTTATTTGCATTTTGTTGGTATACCTTTTCCATTTTATTTTCAGTGTTAGCATTTCTAAATTATTTTGTTTTAGGTGTGTCCTTATCTTTCTCTGCAACATAGATTTGGGTTTTGCTTTGTTCTTTTAATAACAAAGATAAACACTCTGTTGTTGATGTTTTATTTCACATATCTCACCTGATATTTTATTTATGTATGCAATATCTAACATCTCTAATGATGGCAAGTGCTAGTGAAGAGATTATAGTGGAAGAGGGGATAGGAAATTTGCGGTGGAATATTCCATTTAAGTAGGTAGTCAGGGAAGGCCTCACTGGAAAGTTGACTTTTGCATGAACTGATGAAGTATATGCATGAATAAGCTATTTGGATAAGTGAGATCAGATTTATCCTGAGGGGGAGAACAGCTGAAGCAAAGACCTTGTTTTCAAGGAACAGCAAGGAGGCTGGTGTGACTAGAGTGGAGTATACAGGAGAGTAATAGGAACCTAGCCAGAGGGAAGGAATCTAGAGAATCAGCCTGAGCCCTCAGTCTTAGGAAGAGCACAAGACAACCCCTTTAAGAGGAGTTTTGGTGTCAGGTGTTGAAATAACATTACTTCCACCATCTTGCAGTCATAAATTAACTCTAAGGGAATTGTTTAATAACTCTGGGAATTCAAGCATAGGAAGGAAAGGAAGCCAGGTTTATGGGTGTATTATTTTGGGATGCAATTCAAATTATGCATGAAAGCATTTAATCTCAGCTGATTTTGAGGGTTGGATTACTAAAGACTTTCCCAATGCAATCTAAATGACCCTTCAACATATTCTTCAAATCTGATTTTTAGTGACTACTTTATGTTCTACCCCAAAAACATCTGATATAGATTCACAGATATTCGCTATTTATATGAAGGTGTGCATTTACAGGGGAAGATTAAAAACACACACACATATTATTGAAATAAAATATTCAAAAAACATAAAATATTAAAATTATATACTGGGAAGCTTGACCAAAGGCCAAAGCACAACATACAAGTTGTTTTTTAATTCTTAAAAAAAAAAAAAAAGTCAAGTATTCAGCTTAAAAAGTACCCCCTCCCTTTTTATAAAATAAAGAAATCTGTTGTTTTAGCATAAAACTGTATGGCATAGAGGGTGGAATGAAATGGGAGTCCAAATGAGAGGAGATATGGGGGTGAATTAAGTCATTAATGAATAAAAACTGTTCAAAATTCAAGTGGATGGGAACAGAGAAGGGACAAACTAAATATATGCACCATTACTTCTTCCTTGATTTTATGTGTTTCATTTGGCAGCATTTTAATTTTCACTTCAACTTTTTTCCTTAACCTAAACTGGCACAGTGAAATGCTATCTAAGTCACAACTCATATAGAAAACTGAACAGTGCATTGTCAAAAAGGACCCAAAACAGAAGACTTCATCTGAGAGCTGAGATCATCCGGACCGCGCAGGCAGACCCAGTTTAGCAATTCAAGTGTTTCTCAAGGCCTGGGACAATATCCACGATTCTTGGTGCGTTATTGCCCCCTGCTGGCCACATGGAAGCACTGCTCTATAGAAATGGATTTTCATAACACTCCACTTCAGTGCAATGTTAGCCTGCTACCAGAGAAGTTAGAGGAAGT